TCTCAAATTACTCCAACTGTTTTGTTTTAACAACTCAAAATTTTGAATGAGCAAGAGGCATAATAAATACGGAGAATGCTAGAGTCCCGTTACAGTACGGTTCCGCTGGTGTTTTTAATCGTAGATACTCATGTAGATTTATGACGTGTAAATAATACTCATGTAGATACTCATGTAGATTTAACAACTGTTTTTTTTTTTTTGTTTTTGAGAATTTCCTTGTTGATAAAAATAATTTGTGTGATCAGGCAGAGAACTGAAGTGCTGCTACAAGGCTACTGTGGATGGGTTCAGTGCTACAGAATTCCACAACAAATGCGATTTCAAAGGGCCGTGCGTGATCATCGGCTACACTCAAAAATCTCTCAAATTCGGAGCTTTCAACCCGGAAGGCTACCGAAGCACCGACGACTACTACGATACGTTTGACGCGTTTCTGTTCTATTGGGCTCAGGACAGCGAAGAAAACGAGCAGCCCATTGTGTTGGCCAAAGTAGGGGGGAGTGGTGCGGCCCTCTTCGACTATGCGAGAGGTGGGCCCCAGTTCGGGGCTGACGGGCTGCTCATTGGGCCGCCACTAGCACCTGTTATGGGGGGTTTTGCGGGGCCCGACACGAACTCGGGTGTCGGGGACCTGAGGCAGGCCAGGTCGAGGCTTGGGCTGTCTTATGCTAAAAGGGTTGATGGGAAGGAGTCTTTGTTTGGGGATGAGCCCAAGGCCACGCTCGATGAGGTGTTGGTTTTTTGCAGCCCTCAGATTGCGAGTTTGTATTGAAACCTGAAGCTGAAGCTGATCAGTGATCAGCATAGCTAATTTATTCATCAATAAACCATCAATGTCAGAGTTTTCCATAGTGCATTGTAAAGTACTCAACTAGAGCATCGTCTAGTCCCTGAGATATGAGACCCGGCGAGCATTTCAGTCATATACCCTGATGCTACTCAGGCTGCTGCAAGTGCTCTAATCACTCACGTCCGTGCCGGCTCGTGCTGAACCTGCTCTTCCCACTTTCAACAAAATCAACTCTTTCGTGCTGGTTTTTTTGAATACATGTATATTTGTTATACTTGATTGGAACAGCGGTATTCTAAAACTGTTGTGTGATATTGAAGTTGTTCGTGTGTATTTTTTTTTTGTGGGGAATCGGCTTTTCCTACGTCGTGTGTTTTGCGAGTGCAGCGCCTATGCAAACTATACAGAATTGTGATTATGCTACTTTTGGCCTCCTGCTGAAAATTTCATGAGAGTTTTGGCCAAACACACGAGGATCGATAAAAGCACCTAAAAATTGTCTGAACCAAAAACTTTCTCGCTCTTAGCGCAAAATGCAACATTCTAAGGATGTCATCGTACATTGCTTGAGGTCGAATTACAAAGACATAAGGAAACAGAATAGGAGGATACTTCCTGTAGCTTTAGAATTATTCACATATATATATCGACTTATATTCACGTTTTTTTCTGTAGTTTTCGCTCTCTGATCAGTATTCATGTTGAAACGTATTCAGTTGCTCTACACACGTTTGTTTAAGACTCTAGAAAGCGACAAGCAGCGGCTAAACACCTACTGCCAAATTGTACCTCAACTGCTTAATTGTGCCTTTTCTTCTCAGGCGTTGCATAGACTTGAGTTGTCATCCCATAGGTCTTCAGCTGGAAATTCTCAGAGGCCTCAGATACAGCTTCCACCTGTACAGCTGGAAATTCTCAAAGGCATGTTTCAACAGAAGAGCAACCAGCAGCTAATTTATTTATCAATAATCCATCAAAAATAGAGTACTCAACTAGAAACAAGAGAATCCACACACACACACACACACACACACACACACACACATATATATAAATTCTCAATTCTATCCTTTCCCATGAGCATCGTCAAGTCCCCGAGACCCGACGAACCATTTCGGTCATATACCGAGTCATATACGCACCGCCACTTTCTGCAAGGCCTTTCGCAGTGGCCCTCTGCATAGCATGCGAACTCATTATCGCCAACGCAACTGCTCTCCCGGCCTTCCGGTACATCCCTTCATTAACGAGCCTCTTTTCCATCTCCTCCATCTCTCGGTCGAGCCACTTGCACATCCCATCCCCTGCAACTCCAGCCACTGACTCCATAACGACCCTTCTCCTCTCGGCCATCACTCCTCTCGCGCCCTCCATCTCCCCTTTCTCCGCCATCCTCTGAGCCTCCGCAATCCCCTCGGCCATCCGAATCCTATTCCTCCCTCGATCGACCTCCACGCTCACCACCATATCCTCGACCTCCACGTATTTGGGCCGTTTTATTCGGACCGGCCCAAATCCAACCTCCACGGCCTCTCCCGATGCAGCCTCGATGTACGAGCACTCGACGCTCAATATATTCGTCTTCTTTCGCTCGTTCGGTACCGACACCCCCACGAGAAACTCCTTCTCCTCCTCCGTGTCAAGTCCAGCCACGTGAAGCCACAACAAGACATAAGAAAAAGAATCAAATATTGGCAGCAAAAGCATCTTGTGAGCTGTCCACATGACGGAAAAAAAAAGAGGTATGTGGTGAAGGTTTCA